TTTATATTTTACAAAAATGTCAGCAGTAAAAAATTACCTATTCACGTAAGTACATGTGTTTTCAAGTTTGATATTTTTTTTTTGTTTCACTGAATTGTATTATATATTTTAATTTTTTTAAATAAGCATAAAGTATTATTTTTAAATTATATAATGTATTGAATCTTATTTTTAATTGATTAATTTGTATTAAATCTCTTATTATTTTTTTATGTTCATTACAAGTAATTTTTTTTTTTATATTTTCATGATGTTGTAGGAGAACGATAAGTTTCAATTAATATAAATGAATTTTTCTTAACGATCTGAATTCAACAATAGATGAATAAAAAATAAAAGTGTGAATATCACAACTGTGATATTTAATTATAAAAAAATATGAATGTATGTATTATAGGTATTATTTATATTTTCACATCAAGATCAACAAATAATTATGTCAATATTGACATACCAAAAGTTAGTCATTTTATAGATTCATTCAAGTATTGAAATTATTTAAAATATCTCTGTTACATTAATTATTGCTAATTGTTTCCTTTTTATTTTAACTAAAATTTTAATTATTCATTATCACTTTATTGAAGGAATTTTAATTATATGCATATTGCTCACAATGTTGATAATACAAGATCGACTATTTTTCTTAAGTTAAGAAATTTCAAAAACATATATGAGATATTGACAATGGCAAAATCAAATAGTGATATAGTAAATTTAATCTCTCTTATACTTTGTTCTTCTTATTTAAGTTTTAAACTAATTTTTTAATTAATTTTTAAAATATCGTAATTAGTTATATTATAACTGTGAACAATGTAATGCTTAAAAATGGTTGGTATTATATTTGTTGCTCTTATTGCAAGAAGAAAGTTTCTTTCACAATTACAAATTTTAAATGTGAATCATGTTATAAAGACATAAAGTATCTAATGACAAGGTAATTAATTTATTACTATGTATTCTAATTTTTAAATTTTCATATTAAAATAAATTAAATTATATATTATTACCTTAATTTATATACATTACAGGTTTCGTCTTAAGCTAGATGTTAAAGATTTTACATATTTAATTATATTTGTCTTATTTGATGAAATTGTTGAACAATTAGCACAAGTAAAATTAACAGATCTTATTGCAACATCTGAAATTGTAAGCAAATATGTTAATTTCTAACTTCTTATAAATAAAATATATAACTATTTTTATATGATAATTTTTTTAAAGGTAACAGTGAAGTGTTAAAGTTACCTTCACAATTAATTTCTAACTTCTTATAAATAAAATATATAACTATTTTTATATGATAATTTTTTTAAAGGTAATGATGAAGTGTTAAAGTTACCTTCACAACTTTTAAAGATTATTGACACTTCACATAATGAGTACCTACTTTGAAAGTCGTGAAAAATAAAGTTTCACTGCAAATAAAATTGTGGAGGTGAAGGTAATATAGAAAATTAAATTAGAGTTTCATTACTTTCATTTATAATATTTATAATACAATGATGAATAGTTTTATTTTCATTATTTATATTTACAGATTGAAAAGGAAGAAGGAGTAGACAATATAAATGCACAAATAAAAAAAAAATGATTTAGTAATAAGTTATTCACATGTATCTCTAACCATATAAACACTAAATTTACTAAAAAAATGAGGAAATTAATGTATAAATTATAAATTTATAATGCATTGTTTAAATTTCTTAGATTAATAATTTATATTTGATATTTTCTTTTAGGTTGTAATTTAAAGAAGACGAAGCAAAAAATTGTGAACAAAAGACAACAATAGAGGATTTAGAATATTGAATCATTTTTATTGCAGTATTGTATAAATACTTTTAATATTATATATAGTCTGAAAAGTAAAATATCACCAAACATTTAAGTCTTTTATAAGATAATTTTGTTATTTTATTATTATATATATTATGTATTAACTTTGTTCTTAGACAAATCTTATATGTTATTCATAAATTTTATATTATATCAACATCTATAAATTTAATTGATATAAAGATTAATTTTTATATTAAATATAACAATTATTCTCTTTTAGTTTCTACCTAAATTTTAATTGAAATTTTTTAACTACTTTTTTTTTCTCTTCTGTTATTTTAATTTTTTTAGAAATTAATTTAATAGAAACTTATATATCAAAATTATGTATAACCTACTAACATAGACAATATTTTATTTATATTTTATATTATAATAATTATGATGACAAATTTAATTTTTTAAATTAAAAAATTAACAATATTTATACTTAAAGATTTTATTGCAATATTTTTTATAAAATGCTATAATGATGATGATAAATTTAAAACTCTTCAATTAAAAGTAATTAATTATAATAATTAAAATAAATTAAAAATTACTAAATATCATAACAATGAAAATGAATATGATTTAATTGTTTTATTTTCATATTTAATAATTTTATATCATAATGAATGAATAAGTAAAAAAAATATAACGTTTAATTGTGAATTAAGTTTAAATGTTATATATATATATATATATATATATATATATATATATCATTTGTTGTAAAATTTTATGAGTATAAAGTCTAAATATTTACAACTATTAAAAGACTTTAAATTTAAAAAAATAAAAATTAGTGTTTAAAATGTTATAAAAATATTTTTTATATTAACATATCAAATTATATTTATTTATTAGAATTTTATATTCTAACTATATGATTATTTAAAATTTTTAGATTAGAATATAAATTCTAATACTTTTAAAAATTTTTATAATAACATTCAATTATAAATGCAAAGAAGAATGTTTTATAATGAAAAAATTTAGTTATTTTGTGAATTTATAATTAATTTTCAAAATATAAATTAAAATGCAGATATTATACATAAAAATATGAAATTAGTATAATTTTTTTATTAATATAATTATTTATTATGTTACATTCTTAAATTATATATTTTTTAATTAAAAAAATTAAATCAGGTTTACTAAATATTAACCTCTTTTTATAGAATTAGATAATGTATGAGAGATTGACAAAAAAATATAAATTTAAAAATAAAGATTAAATATCCAATTTACTATATTTGCATTAAAATGGTTAGAACAAATTTAATTTTTTAATAGCATTATAAGATTTTAATGTATTTATATTAAAGTTATATTTATATATCTTTAAAATAATTATATACTTTTTTTTACTTATTTTTGGTTCAGTTTATGTGTTTCCTTTTATATAGTATTTTAAATTTATTTTTTAAATTTTTTTAAATTAATATTTGTTCTTTTAATAAATTTTTTAAAATATTATTTCATTATTAAATTAGTTTATAAATATATTTAATTTTATTAATTCTTAATTAAAATAATAAATAATAAACAAACTGTATTAACTATTTTTAAAAATTAAAAAATAATTTTATAAGAAAAATTAATAAATTTATTATTTTAATTTTATAATCAAAATAACATAATTTTATTATACTTAATTAATTATTAGATAAAATTAATTAATTTATAATATCAATCAATATTAATTCTATTAAATTACCAAAAAATATAAAATAATTTAATCATTTAAAAAAAATCTAATTTCATATTTTTTTATCAAAAAGTAAATTTTCAAATTCAGTATATTTTATATTATTATTAATTTTTATTTACAATTTTTTTTATGATAATTTTATTTATATAAAAGAAGTTAAATATATTTTTATTTTTAAATATTAATATATAATTTTGTGTATATTAATATTTAAAGATGATTTTTAAAATTTCATATATTAAATGAATAAATACTTTATTTTTTATATATTAGTCTGATAGTTTATTTTTAAAAAACATGATATTATGTTTTAATAATTATATTGTAAAATTTTATTAATAATTTTAAATTATAATTATAAATAGATAGTTTATCGTATAAATTTAATTCAACAAATATAAACAAATATATAAATAAAAAATTATAAGACCTTTTATTTAAATTTTATAAGACATATTAACAAATTTATTATATTTAATAATTTATTGTTATAATTATTTATTTAAAATTTTATAATAATAAATGATTAATGATATCATGAAACAATATAAATTTTATTTTTACATTTTAAAAATAAGATATTTATATATTATTTTATTTTTTGCTAAAAAAAATACTAAATTATACATATTTTAAATAATTTTAACTAATAATTTATTTTGATGAATAAATTTTTTATTATTTTTATTTATTTTTTATATTTAAATTATATATTTTATATTTTAAAATAAATTAATTTAATAAAAAACAAACCTATTACACACAAACATATTTTTTAATAATAGTTGATTTGTATTGTCTTAATTAATATATTACTATTTAAACTATTTATTATTTTTTTATTAAATTTTCAAGTTTCACATATTAAACGTTAGACCTGTGTTATGATGTGATAATATATTAAAATAATAATAAAAATATATTATTATTATTATTATTTACATGAAAAAAGAAAAAAATAATTAATCTTATATTTAAAAATAATTTATGAAAATAAATTATTTAAATAAATAAGTCATAATTTTATTTATTTAAAAACTCGAACTTGTATTAATTAAATAAAATAGACATAATAACATAAAAATACTTACATATACTATCTTATTTTTAAATGAACAAGTATATTTATTTTGTGATAGTTAATAATTTTATTTAATTAAATAAATATAAAAATATTTTGCTAACATTAGACTCATTTACAATAAAAAAAGTAAAAAAATTTTACAATATGATATTGAATTATTTTATTCAACCTTACAAAATAAATATTTGTTGTAACACAAAATTAATTTCAAACAATTAAAAAATGTGATTATTTAATATTTAAAAAGAAGGTGACGAAAACTGAAATAAATACAACGAAGAAAATATAACAATTGTGGAGCGGGTTCGGGTTGCGGGTACCCAATTTGGTTTGAATAAAAAGCAGCTGAGGAGAAAATAGGGTACAATCACAAATCTCACTCGTGCTGTGGTGGAGTAGGGTTTTTGCGTTTCAGAAAGAGGGAAGAAGGAAGAAACACCATGAGTAGAAGCTTGGGAATACCAGTGAAGCTTCTCCACGAGGCTTCGGGGCATGTAGTGACGGTGGAGCTCAAGAGTGGGGAACTCTACAGAGGGAGCATGATCGAGTGCGAAGACAACTGGAACTGTCAACTAGAGAGCATCACCTACACTGCCAAGGTTCTTTCAGTTTCTTCATCGCACACTCACTTTCTGTAATTATACTTATCTTATTTGATTTTTATGAGATTCATTTGTAAATGTTTTAGATTAGGTTAGGTTAGTGGCGATATTTTTAATACAGTTTGTAATCAAATCACGACTGTGCTTGTGAAGATGTAGAAGGGCTCAGTGATGTTTAATTAAAGTTTGAATTATGTCCCAACTCCTACGGGAAGTTGGGGTTAATGGTCGCAAGGAATCGAAGAGACGCTGGAGCTATGTGATAATAGTTTGATAGTAATATTGTAATTTTGGTTAAGTGGAAAATAAGAGTATCGGAAATGGGGTAGTTATTGTGAAAGCAGGAAGAAGGTGTTATGAAGATACACTTAGGTTTTCCACCTTGTTTAGGTTGAGTGGAGTAGAGCCAGGGAATTTAGCAATGTTTGCTATTTTGAAGAAAGAGGGGTTTGGCTTTTCTGAAGTGTGGGAATGTGCTTTAGATGATAAAGTGCAAAAATAGGTGATGATTGAAAAATTAATGGTTAAAATTGTGATAAAATACGTACGCTTGTGAAATACAGTATGAAGTTTTCAAAATCTCAACTATTGTTTTTTTAAGCAACAGGTATTCTATACTTTATCCTCTGATGTGATTGAGTGAACTTTAGAGGAGCCAAATCTTTGAAGAGAAGGCACATATGACCCAGTATTTTTCCCTGTATTGTCAGCAATTCAGCAAATTAAGAGAAAATAAAGTATTAAACATTACAGAAGACATTACTCACAACAGTGAGTACTGTATCTGCTCAAACGTTTACACTGGCAAAATTTTAACATGAACAGTCTTTTAATTCTTAACATCAATCCATTTCTTAGCTTTTTAGATAAAGGGTGGAGCCTTGAAGTGGCTTTCCAATAGCATGCTTGGAGGACTAACTGTTGGGAAGGGAAACATAAGTGGCCAACAATTTAGCGGAGAAGTGTAATTGATCCACCAGTTTTATTTAGGTGACACCACTGCTATTTACAATTTTACTATAGCTCTTGGTGGAAATATATGCATTTTATGTTAAAGTCGCAGGCCAGAAGATTGTGATACAAACCGGTAAAATCAACAAGGAATTTAAACAACTTAAATAAGGGAAACAGAGGAAATGATGCTGGTTTTACTTGATATAAAGGAAAAATCAGTAGAACAAGTACTACTGCCCAGAGTTAGGCTCCTACATAGAGTGCTCTCCATCCATAACTAACTTCTTGATTATCAAAAGATACCCCCTCTCTCACATCATTCCCACTATTACGGCCTCCCTCCTTGCTTTGGCTATCCACTTACTTCTTCTATCTCTGCCACATCAATCTCCTTGCCTATACACTTCTTCTTTCTTCTAGTTTAAATTCTCTATTATGTGGGCCTGGCCCTGTTTGAGCTCATATCCTCACCCGCAGTCCTAACAGATTGTATTGACAGTCTTAGATCTTATTTATGGAATTTCTTTGAAGTTAAGAGAGTCATATGAACAAATGGAGATACCAAGGCATGGATGGGAAGGAAAAAGTATATTCAGGAAGTGTTTAGACCGTTTGTGGATGCTGAATCCTATGAGACCTGGGTCCTACAGAGGCAACATCTACCATAGAGAATGGACATATCTTGTGTCTGTTCTTGGTCTCTATTACAGATGTTAATTGGATGTACGGTTCAGACATGTTATTAATTTGGAAATGCCCAAGCATTAACCTTGGATCTGTACACTCCTGCCTTCCCACTTTGAACTATGTATTTGTTGGGATATAGTGATTCTGGATAAATGAGGAACTCGTGAAAATTGCACATGCTAATTTTTGGATGTAGTAAAGATGTTTACTATCTCCAATTTCAATTGTAATTGATAAGACTGTCATTCACCTTAGTTGCTCATATTGGTTAAATCTTTCTCAGGATGGCAAAACATCGCAACTTGAGCATGTGTTTATTCGAGGCAGCAAAGTCAGGTATGAATCATATGATACTCTGTAACTTAATAATTTGTATTCCAAATAAGGTTGCATGCTACTAATCATATGTTGTGCAGTAACTTAAAATTTTATATTCCAAATAAGGTTTTGTATTGCATTTTCTGTAAGGACAGTGCTTTGAAGTGATAAGAATTTGGCAGGTTTATGGTTATACCGGACATGCTAAAGAATGCTCCTATGTTTAAGCGATTGGATGCAAGAATCAAGGTACCGTCTTATTTTCAAGTGATTAAACACTGTATATTTGTTTTATGTGTGTTTTAGTATTTAATGCTTTTTAAATATCTTGCAGGGCAAAGGTGCTTCCCTTGGCGTTGGTAGGGGCAGAGCAGTTGCAATGCGAGCAAAGGTATTTACCTTTATTTTACTTATTAGTCTATTAATATGGATTTACGGAACTTCTCAATAAATAAGAGAGAGAGAAAAAATAAGAAGGTAAGTTGAATCAAACTTTTTTTATAAATTAAAATCAGAAGTGCATCTCAACTTTTGGGGAAGTTTTGATTTTAACTTATGGAAAATTTATTTTTTTTAATTTTATTTTCTTCTCCTGTGAATACTTGTTAAATAGTTTATTCAAACTTGGCCTTAGCCATAAAAAGTTGCTTATTCAATGACCTGCTAGGTAAGGACCTAGTATCTGACGTGTTACTCCAAATGTTGCTCGTGTAGGCTCAAGCTGCTGGCCGTGGAGCAGCACCTGGAAGGGGTGTACCACCAGTGCGGCGGTGATCACAACTCATATATAGTCTGTATTTCCTCATCTGTTGGACGTGATATTTAGGCTTGTTGTAGAAATTTATGAGAAAGAAATTCAAACAGAAATTGCTTATTAAGACTTCGTAGATTACTCTCTTTATGGATAGTACTAAATCCCAAATTATTTCACATCGCCTCTAACATTTGGATCTGGTATTGTGTACTTGTTGGTAGAATTTGTATAAGGGGTGCTTTGGCAACTTTTAAAACTAGTTTTAAATGGTACAAAGTAGAACAGTAAGTGTTTTTGAGTTAACGTTTAAATGATCATAGATTTACTTCTTAGTTGTAAATTTTGCGACTGATATACGTTTTTTCAATGTATACAAACACACACAGTCGCAGAGGGGCAGTTTGACAACCGTCAAAGCTGGTTTAAACTCTTTTTTGATAAACTAGTCTTTTTAAATTCAGGTTATCTTGTAACTAGAACTAAAATCATAAGAAGGTAACGATCTGTTGCTATTTTATTGTTATTAAGACGAGGAAAGAAGACAAGGATTTGAAGGTTAATACAGCGCCAATGAATTAACACATGGCCAGCTGCATGGTCATGCAATATTTACTATCTAAGAGAATTACCAGCATGCATGTTAACACATGGCCAGCGTGCAATGACACGTTTAAGAAACTCAAGCTATCTGCCCATTAAAACAGGTTGCAGATGTTGCGGTGGTTTTAGTTAGTAAAGAGAATTATTATGCAAGATTTACTATCTAAATATGGTCATATGCAAAAAGGCTAACGTAACAAGCCAAAAGAAAGAATGTAAGCATATGATCTCACGTGAAAGTTTTGATGATAAGCAACAAACATAGTAAATATCTAAACTGCCACTAAGAAAAGTACTGATAGTTTTTTTTTTAAATTAATGTTTTTTTTTCAAAAATAGAAAATATATATGGTATAGTATTTGCTGATAGTAGTTATTACGCAAGTTTGATTGATTAATAATTACTGAGTGATTATCACGTAAATAACTATCATTCATTTTTTAGTAATCAATAGCTATTAAGTGATTAATAAAATAATATTTATTGTTGATTAACTATGATTCGTTTGATTGACTGATAATAATTAATGAGAGACTACTATTTGAATAATTATCTAATTTTTTAAAGGTTAACAGTAGTTTTGAGCGGTCAATATATGTTTATTTTTGAGTAAGAGTAATTTTTACTCATCTATAATTAGATACAGTAGCCATTGCATAATTTTTAAGTGCTTAACAATAATCGTTGATATTTTTTCAAGGGAATTTACTCTATGAGGGAAAATCAAACTAATGATCTCTAAACTAAAAATTTGAATATATCTAAAATTTAACTATTTATCTTTTTAAAATTAAATATTTTTTTAATAATCATTATCATTAATTTTTCCATTTTTTTGTCATTTACAATTGATTTAAAATAATATTAGAATCGCTGCATTTAATTACTGTTCCGTACTCTTATTGTTGCTTAATAAATGGGGGAGGAACAAAGTTTGGAAATTTTTAAAATAACGGATACCTATCTCACAATAATATATATATAGTTTATCTAAATAACAGTTCAATGGTCGAAAATTAATATTTTATCTGAATATCTAATGTATCTATATTTTAAATTTAGTTGAGAAAATAACATAACATTTTCTTTTGCTCTCAACTATAAATATCTTCCACAGGATATAAGACTTTACTTAAAGAAAATAACACATATCTCTCTTAAATCAGTCACTTGTAAGCATTCAAAGATGCTCTTTCAATTTTATACGTACAGATAAACCAAATCAAATTATTGTCCATAAGATGCATTTTTCATTTTCTTATCAAGGGTTAAACCGATGCGCTAATTGATGCATTAAAATCTAAAAAGAAGACGACGATGCTTACGTGATTGATACAGTGTAACTTTTCTTTTTAACCTGTCTGAAAGTTTCTTTCCAACCATCAGAAAACTCACTTTGGTACGAGAAAAAGGACAGAAAAATTCGTCGTTGCTAATAAAAGCAGCATGGACAAGAACAAAAGGCAGGGAAAGAAAATGACCTATAAACTGACCTTATATGCCACCGCTCAACCTCATACCAAAACAAGAAAAAAATAATTTCAATTTAAATTGGTTTAGATATTTATTTGCAAACTTTTGTCAGCATTTTAATATCCTTGACAAAACTTTAAAGTAATTAATGACCATGAAAGAAGACTTCATCAATCATCTCCCTATTAAACTCACACATGATTATAGAGATAATTAATCAAAACACGAAAATAAAAGAAATTTTTTGATGGAATACACCTTTCTTCTTTCTTTATTTCTTTTCACACTACCCTACCAGTGATGTCTCTCCTAAACATGCCCAAAAAAAGTGACCGATTATCACTTAAACAAGTTACAATTAAAACCCCTAGCCAATACAAGCAAGCACAGCCATAATTATTTTTCCGATAAACTATGGTTGCATATATTTAAGGTAACAATCACCTATCAACGATGCACAAATAATAATATTTTATTTTCATGGCACGAATGATTAAGAATTTCAATTTTGAAGGCACATACAAAGCAACCTTAGTGGTGTCTTAAAATTGACCATTCTTCTTCATGACATTCCGTTTACTCAGTTACTACTCTGCTCCTTCTGCTTTTCCCCCCCAAACTGAACGAGAACGTTACAAAAGCAGAGAAGCCAGAAACCCTTCTTAAAAAGGAATCACAGAACCCTAAGCGCAACGAGTCAAAGAAGAGAGAAGCAAAGTACAAAAGCACCGAGTTGTGCTCTGTCTTTCTCTCTGTATCACTTGTCTTCTTTTGTATCCGTTACCATCTTCTTCTTCTCTCATCAGCTACGTCGTCGTTTTGGATTTTGTTTTACCGTAACTTTCTCTTCAAGTTATCGCTACTTTTATTATTGTGTGTTTGGAATTGATCATTATTGCAGTTTCATGTTTCTGTCTCTCTGAATTGCTATGAATTGAAAGGAGTAATTGATCTCATGAGGATTTAATGTTGTTTGTTTTTTAAATAACTTGTTTATTTGGAATCTGTGTTGCTTCTCATGACATGTATTTTGCATGCAGATAAGAGTAATTGGAGTCTGAAATCAGTGATACGTTCAACATGGCTTCTGCAACTAAGGGTGATAGGAAGATTGCAATTGATGTAGCATCGTGGATGTTCAATATAGTCACATCTGTAGGAATAATCCTTGTGAATAAGGCGCTCATGGCTACATATGGTTTCAGTTTTGGTATAGATTCACGATTCAAGATAGTTTATTCTTCACCTTCATTTTTACAATTGTTTACTGCTTTAAGTTACAGCGCATTCATTGTGTTTGGCTTATATATGTGCTCATGAGCTGTATAAGTATCCAATATATTTGATAGTGGTAATTGAATTAGGGAAAAGTATGGGATCAATGGTAATGATCTTATTATAGATCTATGCTGTTCTTTCAGAATCAGATGGTATGCTGAGGCCTTACAGTCCTTAAACTTTTGGTATTTGTGATTAAACCAATCACAATATTCACTTAAGTTGATGTGGCATTCATAAACAACCAGTTTTTCTTTCTAAACTTTTGAGGATGGGCGATGAAGACTCTAGCCGCTAAAAAGATTTGTTGTGGTGTTCAAGATAGGCACTTAAAGCTTTCCTTGAGAAAACTATTTTTAAACTACTTTCTTTTTTTTTTTGGCATGGTTTTAGTATTGAGTTTGATAAGTATTATTGTTTATATCCCATAGTTACAACAAGCAAGTGCTGAGAAAAGCACTGCATGTTTGATAAAAAATCTCTTCTACAACTAGTTGATCAAAGAAGAATGTTATTTGTGGTTTATTCTGGTGCGAGGTAAAAGATTACTTCTAAACTTCTACAGAAATCCCAATCTCTGACATTGAACATCATATTTGTGCAGCTACAACGTTAACTGGTCTGCATTTTGCAACAACAACCTTGTTGACCACCTTTCTTAAGTGGCTGGGATATATCCAAACCTCCCATCTTCCCTCACCTGATCTTATCAAATTTGTCTTGTTTGCAAATTTCTCTATTGTCGGAATGAATGTGAGTTTAATGTGGAACTCTGTTGGTTTCTATCAGGTAATTTTCAGGCTTTTGTGAAAGTATCAAATTTAACTCTGCTTGTGACAAAGATAAGTATGGTGATTTGTTTCCTTTGAAATAAAAATTTCAGATTGCTAAGCTGAGTATGATTCCGGTATCTTGTTTCCTGGAAGTTATATTGGACAATGTGAGATATTCAAGGGATACAAAGCTTAGCATTTCCCTAGTTCTCCTTGGTGTTGCTGTATGTACAGTCACTGATGTGAGTGTCAATGCTAAGGGTTTCATAGCAGCTGTAGTGGCTGTTTGGAGCACCGCACTGCAGCAGTATGTAAGTAACCTGCTAACACTATATCAACCCTGAATCATAACTGGGAGATTGCAGTAGAACAGAATTGAATTCTTTGTCAAAAAGGTGGTTCTATCTCCTTGGTGAATGTTACCATTCACGTGTCTAAGAATTTATTCATCTCTACTTATTGTAGATCTAAATTTGACAAAAAGGGAAGCCTGCAGAATTTTCTTTGTAAATCTGGGTTTTGATCATGGATAGTCTTTTCATATACATATTCAGGATGGACTTATGTAATTTATGTCAGATCATTCCAATTCTAACTCTTTTTTTTTAAAAGCTGAAATCTTAGTTCTATTTTTGCAGTATGTGCATTTCCTTCAGAGGAAATATTCTCTCGGATCGTTTAACTTGTTGGGCCATACTGCACCAGTACAGGCTGCAAGTTTACTTCTAGTAGGTCCCTTTATGGACTACTGGCTGACAAACAAAAGAGTTGATGCGTACAACTATGGTTTGACATCCATTGTAAGTTTCTCTTGCTCTATGCTGCTTAATTACATGCTTTATTGACTTTTGGTACATGCCTAGTCTTAGTTATTATGTTGTGGATTATATGTTTGTGTTTATGGTACTGGGTGCCAAATTCAACTGCCAAGCTCCAGTTCGAGGTTACTGAATGACATTGACAGGTCTAAGATACTTTGGTCATGGTTAGATCTTCACTTAATTCATCATGCAATTGCAACAAAATGAGCATGTAGAGTTTATAAATTGTATCTAGTTTGTATTATCACAATTCATAAACTCCTTATGAGTGATTAAGGAATTGAAGTATTTATCATGGAGGACTTCAAAGTTCAAATATTTTTCAATTTTTAAGTCCTGTTGACTAGCTAGCTTTGCTAGAGGTCAGAAGTTCCAGAAGGATCCTGCAGTTAAAGGTGGTCCAAAACTCCAGGTTGGCGGGTAAACTAAACGGGGATGGTAAATAGCACTAGAAGTTCAAGCTAAAGTAGCATATCCAGTGAATACTTCCCACTCGTGCCAGTTAGTTGCTCCTTAAGGGAGAGAGAAAATCTGTAGAATCTTTGCATGGATGAAGTTTCTCGCACTATAAATGGATTCTTCTCTAATTTTGACTCCCTGTAGCATGTATATTTCATCTTTAGTTTTCCATTAATATTACAAACTGATTGGCTCATTCTGTCTGCAGTTGTTCATCATTCTGTCTTGCTCTATCGCAGTAGGGACAAACCTCAGCCAGTTCATCTGCATTGGCAGATTTACGGCTGTATCATTCCAAGTTCTTGGTCATATGAAGACTATTTTGGTCCTGGCCCTAGGATTCATTTTCTTTGGAAAAGAGGGTCTCAATCTACAAGTAATTCTAGGCATGATCATTGCAATAGCGGGAATGATATGGTATGGCAATGCATCTTCTAAGCCAGGAGGGAAGGAGCGTCAAAGCACAACCATTCCTACCCCTAAAGCACAAGAATATAATGTACTACCTGTATCCTCTGAAACGGATCAGGAAATATGAATCTTAATGGAAATAAAGTGGTGAAACTTATAGTAAAGTGCATGGGAAAATCAGGTGCCCTTTAAGTCAGCTTATTCATTTTCTTATACCCAGAAGTAATTTCCCAAATATTTATAGAGATATTGTCATATATCTGTGTTCCGTTTTTCTGAGTAGAGGAGGAGGACTATTTTATCGTAGGGTGTTAAAAAAATCCAATTTTATAAACTCAATTCATAATTAATGTCAAATTAGTTTTAAAAATTTAGATTCATATTAAACTGGTTTTTTTATTAACTATATTTGTATAACCAGTTTAGTGTTTAAATTTATTTTTTAAAATTGAATTTTTTTTTAGTTATCCAAATCCATGTGTATGAAGCAACTTTATATCTTTATTTATTAAATTTTAGCATTATATTAGTTTATAAAATTTTATTGTAACTATATTTTATCATTAATACTTTTTTATTAATCTTAATTCTTATAATTAAAATTAAATGTTTAAAATAATTAAATATATTAAAATATAATAAATATTTTTAAATTAATTATTAGTGTTATTTTTATATTTATGTTTTTTTTTATTTTTAAGATATTATAACAAAAAATTTATTATAATTTATATTATTAATTTTTATTTTTATAGATCTTAATTTAAATTTTTACTATAAAATCTGTTTATTAAAAATAAGTTAAAAATAATAATAAATATTTTATATACTTCTATAAAATATAATATATTAACAAATATTGTTAAAATCTTTATGAAATGCATTAATTTAATGCAATATTTTGTATAATAAATTAGTTTTACTTTAAAAATATAGTTCAAAAATATATTAAAAATTAATTTTATGTTAAAAATTAAATTTAAAATTAGATTTAAAATTAATTTAACTTAAAACTAAATTTAAAATTGATTTTAAATTAAATTTAAATTTTAAAATTATTTTTGAATCGATTAAAAAAATAAAATAAAATAGTTTCAAATTTAACTCATATAGTTAATTTGTGTGATGGATAGATGATAAAAAGTAGAATATATCTAAATATTTATTATTTTAATAAAATATAAAAATAAAAAATATTATTAATGAATTAAAATATACGTAAATATTTTCTAGACATGTATTGTTAATGTAATAGACTAGAGTACTCTTGTATTCATATTTTATTTTTAATAAATGTTGATACTTAACAAATAAATAAATATATATATATAATATTATATTATTTATTATGAAATTTAAATATTTTTTTAATATAATAATTTAATAATAATTAAAAAAATTATAATATATTTTTGTCATACGTAAAAACGGTTTTAAACCAATTTTAAATTTTAAAACTAAATTTAAATCAATTTTAGAAAAATTAAAATAGATTGGTTTATAATCTAATCCATATAATTTGATTTTAAATGAATTTATATTGGTTTTTTGAAAATCAAATCCATGAACACCCTTACTTTATTGCGAGTGGCTTTGTTTAACAATTTGGTTAAACACTTGTTTAATAAATTTTTATTACTTTAAGAGTTTATATTATAAATTTGATCATTAAATTCATTAACATAAACTAAAAATGATTTATTTTGATAACTTATATAAAGAAATTTAATGAAATAAAATAAATAAATTATAAAAATTATAAATTATTTTCATAATTTTTTTATAAACTATTTTAAGCACACTCAATATTATCCTCTTCAAACTTATCAATTTATTGTAATTTTTGAAAATTTTATAAAAAAAATAGTAACTTGTATTAGGATATATATATATATATATAAACGTGTGCCAAATATGTACTATGTGAGTCTTCTTTATCCGTGCTCTTAGAGTATTGATTGAATAATTGAAAGTAAATAGATTTTGTAAAAAATTATATTAGGATTCAGTAAAAATTATAAAGGGATGTGCATTAATAATTTTTTTTTATTAAAATGATTTAATTTTGAATTATACTTTGGCTAACATTTGTATAGAATTTATTAAATTATTTGTTCTAACATATTCAATATTATAAATAATAAAAATTTACATATAGTAAAATTTTATTAAAAATTATAAATTTTAATGCAATTCAATATGTTAATATTATTAAATATTACAATTCTTCAATAAAATTTAGTATTCATTAATTTTTTACACGTACAATTTGTATAAAATAAAAAAGTTATTAAATAATAATATTAAATGAAAGCTCAAACTAGAACTCGCGCATTATTTTTCTTATAAAACATGAAGCGATGGATGATTTTTTTTTTCTTTTTACAAAGAGGATATAAGAGTTTTCATATAATATAAATTATAAGTAATTATAAAAAATATATTTCTTGTAGAATATAATAGTATTTTTTTTCTTACAAATTGTTTTATTATAAACTACTTATAAATTATTATTTTAATAATATTATATTATAAATAAATAGTTTATTATATAATCTCATTCAAAGAGAATTTTTAATATGAAAATTAAATATTTATTTATTAAAGTGATAAAAATAATTAAAATTTTGCTAAGTAATTTTTTTACTAAAATATATATACAAATATATTAATAATATTAAATATACATACTTTTGTTTTGATTTGTTAAATATGGGCGATTATATGTCGATATAATTGACGTTCAGAGGGTTGCAGTTTGGGCAAGAAAGAGAGATATATATAAAGAAAAGATTAAAAAAATGATAATAGAAAAAAAAAAGGTAAAAATGAGATGTAAAAAAAGAAAGTATGAAAATATTATTGTTGGTTACCGGTGAGTTATCCAGGAATGACCGGAGTGAAAATTCATTTTTATTACGATTTATTATTTTAAATCGTTGAACGTCGTAACTTGTAATACTTCTTTCCCCAAAGCCAAATTAGGTTTTCGAAACATACCAGAAAAGCAGAATTTGTTTTCTCTTCAACTTCTTCTCCGTCACTATCCACGCCCACGTGAGTCTCCTAATCTCTATTCCTGTCGATGATGCAATATTGCTATTGTTACTCTTCGATTCGTATGAATTTGCATTTTCAACTAATGCCTATTCTTTTAGCTTATTTCCCTTTCTCAGAAACGTTGTTAGTCTTTAGTTCAATTCTGTGCGGACTTTACTCTCTTGTCTTGTGGGAATAAAAGAAAGAGTAATAGAGAAATTTTTATTTATTTTATATATACCCCTTTGAAAAATGGTTGGGAAATGGAAGTTGAAGTGTCTCAATTTTATACCACAGCGAAGTTTAGTGCCTTTGAACCGAACCCTAAACCACAAAGGGCTTACTGAATTTTACCCAGTAAAAAATTATTTATTTTATTCACGCGATAATGCCGTGTTTTTATATAATCGAGGAAAAAGTTCCACAGAAACTAAAATATGAAAAATTCTGTGAAATTTTTTTAAAATGAAAAACAAATTTTCTTAGTATTTTTTTTTTGTTAAAATCGTAAAGGGAGCCTTATTGAGCACTCATTTCATTATTTTTATTTTGTGAAATTTATATGTAAAAAGAGCTACAGGAGAATTTTTATTAATCCTATATTTTCCTTGGCAGGGTGAAAGCGTATATGGGTGATCGGCAAGTAGTTGACCAACAGCACTCAGTTGATCCACAATTGCCATCTTCTCCTCCCTCAAAGGATGATATGGTTTCGTGTGTTATGGCTTTGGAGGCTGCTTTGCTTCCCTGTTTGCCTGCCCGAGAACTTCAAGCAATAGACCGTTCTCCGCACCCTTCGCATCAAAGTGAGTTACTGCAAGTCTTTCATATTTTTAATTTTGATGGCCTATCTAGTAGAAGTGAAATAGAAAGTGATATTGGACTTTTTTTAACTGAAACCTAAATATAAGAAGGTAAAATGCAAAATACTGTGCCTTGTATGTTTATTCTGTTATATGGAGCTTGAAAGGACATATACAATGATGAATACCCGCAGCTTGAGAGGAATCATAATTGCAGTTTCTTTCTAGTCTCTGTGTCATGAACTTCTGAGTTCCGACCCTTTGTGTGATAAGTGGATGGGTATGATATACCATGTGATATTTTTCAAGTATTAGGTCAAGCTGTTAACATAATTTACCTGACTTTTAAAACTGAACATCCTTTTTATAGTGCCCCCTTGTGATATTCTGTTGTTGATAGATTGTTCAATGTACAAGACTGTGTACCAGCAGTACATTGCATATGTAGGGAGGGGGCAAGGGAGAGGGAAGAAGGGTGGTAAAATTTTCATATAGATGATTTTGCAGTTAACCTTAACGAATGTTCATATGGAACTCTTGGTTTGAATGCAAAATTGCAACTTTTTTCATCTGTAAGACGTATTGCTAGATCTTTATTGTTAAAATTAGCTATTGAAGTTAAATAGAAATTGCTCAGGTCCCTGACAAAACCATATATTGTTTAACAACAATTGCATGACAAATTAAGATTCATTTATGTTCCGGGGTTTTAATTTACAGTGAGAAGAGAATGTTTGCGCTAGTCCCGTGGTGGAACCTAATATATTGGGAATATGATTTTCTCGCAATCTGTGGTGAATAATAGAACTATGTATCCTAACAGAACTTTCGTTGTTTGGATGTTTTTTAAGTTGACGTGGATAGGTATGCAAGAGATTTTATGGAGGCTGCCAAGAAGCTTCAGCTTTATTTTATTAGCCTTCAACGTGAGGATAAGCCAACAAAAGCTGAAATGCTTAGAAAGGTATGATAATACACTGAAATGATGTTTTTCCTTCTGTCATGGAGACTGTAATACTGTCATCTAAAAACTTGTGCTGTATGCTTTATCTAAGCAGGAGATTGCTCTGATGGAAGAGGAACTCAACATAAAAAATGAGCTGATAAACAAACAAGAAAATTTAATTCAGGAGTGGAAAAAAGAGTTGCAAGAACAGTTGGACAAACACAATATTGAGTTGGAGAGGGTTTAGTGTATGCTCGTGCTCCTTTTCTCTTTATTTAATAGATATTTCTTTCTCTCCCCTCGTCCATTTGTATGCTCAACTTACCAAGAATTTCAAATACCGTTCGTATTAGGCCGTTTATTAAATATGATGTATTCTTGGGGACCAGGGATAACTGCAAATAACCAAGAAATATATGGCATGATTCAGAAATCAGTCGGCTGAATTTTGTTGCCAAAGATCAAATCATCCAAAAGGGTTGAAGAGAAAAGTTGAAGAATGTTGAGATCCCCTCCCCCCTCTTTTTGATTTGATCAACTAAGACCCTTGTTAAATAGCAAGCCGAAAAGCTACGCGGAAAACATGGATTGCATATATGATCTCACGAAGTGGAGAATGTTGTTCTCTATGTTTAAGATTATGCCACATGGCAGCGTTCTCTGGCAAACGTAGAACTTTCTTGTGCTTTATTGTAACGTTGAATTGCATCTCATCCATTTATTCATTTGCCATCCTACATTTTCGAATTTGATGGTATTGTGGAATCTCATGTCAAAATTTGGACGCTTTATAGTTGATCCAACGATTATAACTGCTTTGAAGTAACGATGGAGATTAGAGATAACATGTTTTTCATCTTTCATATAAAAAGTAGTTGGAGGATGTTGTACTCCATTTATTATTGGTCAATGTTGCAAATGTATTAATTTAAATATTTTAATAATATATAAACAATATTAATATTCATTAAAATGTCAAAAAATAATAAGTTACATAAACTTGTTATCATAAAATATTATGATATTGTTACAAAATAATTTAATTAAAATAATTTATATAAAATATATTTAATTTAAAAATTATAATGAAATAAAAAAAAATACTAAACTGAAATTAGTATGAGAAAATAGTTGAAAAGCAAATCAAGTGCGATAATGTCGTGTTAAGAAATTGGTATCCTTAAAACCAATTTTTAGTAATGAGAAATATATTTAATGTGTTGAGATCTTAATAAGGGTGAGACCAATTTTTCGTAGAATATTTAATAATAGAGAATTTTAGAAAAAATTATAAGAGAAGTAAATTTAGAATAATAAAATATAATATTTCAGTAAACAACCCAAAAAGAAGAGACATCTCAAAATTTGGTTTTTTGTATTACGCAATCTCCATTTTCCTTTATTTTATTTTATCTTTTTTTTGAGGTCAAGAAGTATGTCAGGGAGTCACGTGCCATAAAGAAAAGGGCTAAGTGAATCTGAATAAAACTATAAATAAGATAAAAAGAAAAAAGAAAAGTGCAATCAATCAGAGGTAAGAAGAAGGAAAATCTCGCAAGGCATTAACATGATACGTTTTCTGTTCGTCTAATTTCAATATCTGAGGATCCTTCACGACAGTCTCAGTCTTTGTCTGGTCTACGGTTCGTTCTTTCCAATACCACAATACTCCCTTCATATTCTCTTCTACTTTCTTTAATCCAAGATTTTCTGGGTACCCTCAAAGTTTCTTGGATCCTATTTCGACTTGCTTTTTTTATTTTGCTTATCTGTTTATGTATGCTTTTCATTGCATCTTTGCATGTTTCTGTTGATTATTAAAGTGAGGTTTCTGTTGTTTTGTAAATATTCTTTTAATTGGGATACGTCGTGCTTATTTGGTTCGCAGTTACACATTCCAAAATCAATTTTAAAAAAAATTTACACTTTACGAAGCACTTTGAGTGGTAGGAGATTTTTTTTTTATTTCTACCAGAATCAATATTTTATGGCTTATTCCTGTTAAATTTCTTTGGCTCTCAACTCTGGTTAAATTACTCACACTTAGCATCTAATTTCACTGTTTTTTTTTTTTTTTCAGTTTTAGAATTATGTGTGTATGAATAAATGAATTTGATTGATTTTGTTCAGTTTCGGCTAAGTGAATCTTAATTCTCAAATCTTACACCCTTCAAATTGTTTGTTCTGATGTCAATTCAGCATTCGTATCTTGCAATTGATAAATTGTTGAACTTGATTGAGTCTATGTCATCCAATTATGCTGAATACTCCTTAAGTAGTTCTCAGAGGTTGTTATTAAATGAAATCTACAGGAAGCAAAATTTAAGCTGCTGAAGTTCCTTCTTTTAAAACAGCATGTCCTTGGGAACCTCCAAAGTAGTTTTTCAGGTTCTGTCTAGGGCTCTGCCTCAAACTGGGCATAATGAACCTTTTGTGAACTCTTCGGATTTAACATTACATTCCCAGTTTCGTGTAAAGTGTTTGAAGAAAAGATCCTTAAGGCATAGGCATGTGATCAATTGTTCTAGCATGCTTCAAAGTCAGTTAAGAAGTCATCAATTTCAGTGGATGGGTGTCCATTTCCGTGAGACCTACAGTCAATCATGGCTGCAGACATGCAAATGCCAACAGGTGGAAAGTGCAAGTGGCATAACCGCAGGAGATGGAAATGGATCAAGGTTTGTCAATAATGTTGAAACATCGAATTCAGTAAGCAATGTGATGAGTGCGAAGCATATCCAAGAGTTCCAAGATGTCCAACAGTTGAAACAGGAAAAGGAGGTTTTGAAATCTAATGGTACAAATGGAGCTATTGCTAGCAGCTTTGAGACAATTAGCATCAACTCCATTGAGGAAGAAGCATGGGACCTACTAAGGGAGTCTGTAGTTTATTATTGTGGCAATCCTATTGGAACTATTGCTGCAAAGGACCCAACCAGTTCCAATGTTTTGAATTATGACCAGGTCTTTATTCGTGATTTCATTCCTTCTGGAATTGCTTTCCTATTGAAGGGGGAGTATGACATTGTTCGGAATTTTATCCTTTATACACTTCAGTTGCAGGTAATGTCTTAGAATCTTGGTCTTATAATACCAATAGCATGTCCTGGTAATTGCTAAATTTGATACAACTTGGTGCATTTACAATACATGCCTTGGATATGTATATTTATTTTTAGTTGACTGTGCAAAAGTAAAATGATGCGATTTGTGTTGTATCTTTACAAAGGTTTTTTTATTCATCAGTTATTACTGTTATAAGTCCTACAAATCTAACTCTAGCTGTTTCTCCATTGACTTGTTGGTGAATAAAGTGAATACTAACTTCACTTTAAGAAACATGCTGCAAATGCTTGTGTTTGATGGCTAATATTGATGTGAATTGTCTACATATAGAATGCCACCCTGTTTTGCTAGGATTCTTGTTAAGAGGTACTTTGTTTCTGATACATTTTGATCCCACAATTCCATATTTCAGAGCTGGGAGAAAACAATGGATTGTCATAGTCCAGGACAAGGTCTGATGCCTGCTAGTTTTAAAGTTCGGACAGTTCCTCTAGATGGTGATGATTCTGCAACAGAAGAGGTTTTGGATCCTGACTTTGGAGAGGCAGCCATTGGTCGTGTTGCTCCTGTTGATTCTGGTAAAATACCTAATCGGACCAATAGAATTATTTTTCACACAGCACTAGAAACTTACCATAATACACCTTGGATTGCTGAACATATTTAACGTGTGATCTCAGGATTGTGGTGGATTATTTTATTACGAGCATATGGAAAATGCTCCGGTGATCTATCCGTTCAGGAGAGAGTTGATGTGCAAACAGGAATTACGATGATTTTGAAGTTGTGTCTTGCTGATGGCTTTGACATGTTCCCAACCTTATTAGTAACTGATGGTTCATGCATGATAGATCGGAGGATGGGAATTCATGGGCATCCTTTGGAGATACAGGTATATAAGATTTCTTGTCTTTCTTAATTGTACAATGACAATAGCTTTATTCCACTTGGTGAAGTTAGCTAGATGTAACATATGATAACATTGGGCTTGGTCAAAAATCAATTTCTTAGAGATTTTAATAATTTCTTATAAAGTCTTCTTGGCCTCCCTCTATCCCTATTCATAGGACTAAAAACCATGTGTTTTTCTCAGTTGTATGATATTTTTCAATTTGTACTTTTAAGGACAGAAATTTTTTTTTCTGCTTATTCATGATGATACATTTGCTTAGATAGGTTTAAAGTGATGCAATTATCTGCTCCTTTTTGACAAGAAGCAAGAACATGTTTTCTTATGGAAGATTGAGGACCAGCATTCTGTCCTGCCCCTTATTCTTTTCAACAGTGATTGAGCTTTCTTTTCTCTTATTTTTGGTATGAGGGGGTAGTGGTATTAGGTATTTTTTATGCATTTGAAAGTTGCTGATATTATATTTTTTATACATGAAAGATGTAACTTCGCATTTTTTTAATAGAGATGGAAAATTAAGGTATATTCATGAATAAAGGGACTACGCCCTAAGAGAAGAGGTTGTACTAGGAAATTTAACAATTAATTGACTAATAGAAGACATTAGACCTCTATGCTTTCATCTTATATTACTATGTACCTCTCAAATTCCTGGGTTAAGTCACATGAGGATGTTAATAGATCGAATTGCTCAGTTGCTAGTTGTAAATACTTTTACTACTAGCTTTTGATTTATAAATTCTCCTTTCTGGAAATTGAAGGAATTGCATGATAAAATTTGTAGAAGATATAAATGATTCTGTGTTATGGTGTTACCTAATTCACTATAACCAAAAACATTGAAGGTTACATATTTTATTTTATTTTATTTTGGTATCTATCTCCTTGAATAAATTTCTTGTTTTTTCCTAAAAAAAAATGTGTATCTGTGAAGCTTACAAATATGAAAATAGGGATCAAGTAAACTTCTTTAATGTATTTTCTCTTTTGCTTTTTATTTTATTTTTCTGTTTCTAGGCACTGTTTTATTCTGCTTTACTTTGTGCACGAGAGATGCTTACTCCAGAGGATGGATCAGCTGATCTTATACGGGCACTGAACAATCGTCTGGTAGCTCTTTCATTTCATATTAGAGAATATTATTGGATTGATTTGAAAAAATTAAATGAGATTTACCGTTACAAGACAGAGGAGTACTCATATGATGCAGTTAATAAGTTCAACATATACCCAGACCAGATTTCTCCTTGGTTAGTGGAATGGATGCCAAACAAAGGAGGTTATTTGATTGGCAACTTACAACCAGCTCACATGGATTTCCGATTTTTTTCACTGGGAAACTTGTGGTCTGTCGTAAACAGTTTGGCCACTGAGGAACAGTCACATGCCATTTTGGATCTTATTGAGGCCAAATGGTCAGATTTGGTTGCAGAGATGCCATTCAAGATTTGTTATCCTGCTCTTGAAGGTCAGGAATGGCAGATAATCACAGGCAGCGACCCTAAAAACACGTACTGTATCTAATTTGTTGTGCGAATGTTTTTCTGTTAGCTGACTATATTTTTTATCAAATGGTTTTATTTATTTGTTAATTTTTTTTTGGCAGGCCTTGGTCCTACCATAATGCAGGCTCCTGGCCAACACTGCTCTGGCAGGTTACTCACAGTGGCTAAGTTTTGAAGCAGTTCTGTTTAAAGCTTCTATACTTTTTTTACCTTAGCTCTTGTTATAATATGTCCTATTTGAACATCTTTCACATACAGCTGGTTGAGCTTAGTTGTCTTTGTTTAGCAATAAATGTACCATTTGTTTCCTAGTTTACCTGGTCTTTTCACTCAAGCATTGCGAGTTCGAAATATCAGCTGCAAGTGTTTAACTCAAAATATGCTTATCGCAGCTCACAGTTGCATGCATAAAGATGAAGAGAACACATATTTCCGCCAAAGCTGTTGAGATTGCCGAGAGACGCATGTCAAGAGACAGATGGCCAGAATACTATGATACGAAGAGATCTCGATTCATTGGGAAGCAATCTCGACTATTTCAGACTTGGTCTATTGCAGGATACCTTGTGGCAAAGTTACTACTTGCTGACCCTAGTAAAGCAAACATACTGATTACTGAGGAGGATTCTGAACTTGTGAATGCCTTGATTAGTGCCAACCCTAGAGGAAAGCGTGGACGGAAAAATATGAAGCAGACCTACATTGTTTGAGTCTTATATTGCAATTCATTTGGTTGGTTCTTTATGGTCAGTTAATTTGTCTTCTGATTAGTAGCATATTATTTTAGAAACGGCAGGAATATGCAAAATATATAGAAGTTTGGGTTGGCTATGATGAAATTGTCTTACCCTGGTATATAAGGATGTAGTAAAGAGATCAAGATGGTGTCAATACCTCAGGTTTGTAAGTAGCATATATAAGATACAGTTAATCATAACAGATGAAGACTTTTATACTAGTAGTTTCTAAAGAAAAACTGGCTTTGCCCCCTCTTTGCTCACCTTATAGTACCATTTTCTGTAATTGCCATGGTAAATGAATCTGAATTTGAAAAAAATGTGCACTGGTACCAATAGAATTCAAGGAAACCTTTGTGCTTGTAAATGCAAGTGATATGTGCTACTTGCGCCACTCTAACCTGAGAATCACCTCGAGATGGTGTGCATTAGTCACTTTAAACTCTTGATTTTTTTAAAATTTTCATTTAATCCCTAACTTTGTAAAAAGGAATTCAATTTAGTCCTTAATTAAAGTGGAAAGTGAGGCAGAAAATAATTAAAGTGAATGATTTTTTACAAAGTCCATGACTATGTAAAGATTTTAAAATTAACACCCATAAATTTAAAGACTAAAATAGAGGTTTCTTCCTGATAAAATAGATGAGTGCAATCAATAAAATATATAAAAAAGTAAAAAAATAAAAATAAAATAGAATTAGTACGTTTTTTTTGTGACTTCCAACATATCATGCTTTACACAAATTAGCGCTTTTGTTTTAAAATATATAACATTTTTTTAACTTGTCAAGAAAAGCCTTTTATCTAGGTTCATACATGAAAATTTATTTGGGGTTACAACATTGTTAGAGCAATTATTAAATGGCTAAAAACAAAAAATTTACATGAAAATTTCTCACTAGATGCAAATATCCATCGAGTAGAGTAATACAAACTAGTGAACAAGTTTTTTTTTTTTTTTCAATCTAATGAACAAGTTTAAAAACGAGAAAACCAAGCACAAAACACGATCACTGAACACCCAAGTATTTGAAACTAGAAATTAATCATTAGTTACTAATAATACTGAACATATCAATTGTGTAGAAACAGTAAGCATTTGTAAACTTTAAAATTGACTGTAAAACAGAGTCCACAAATCTCCAATATATAAGATGTGTACCAATTACCTAAGGTTCCTTTTCTAAGATATTTCTTTACAGCCTGGTGTTATGTACACCCAAGTCCCAACTACTTGTGGAATATTTGAGAATGATGATTTGGAGGGGAAAACCAACCAAAATGAAACGATTTGAGTTACAATTTTATTTAGTATAAGTACATAGCAGTTAGTAGAACAGTCCAATTGCATGAACATGGGTTTGACACCATATAGAAAGCACGTTGAGATGGACCCTGATATGACTGATTAGGAGAGGTTAGATTATTATTTGAGCCAAAAGAATGACTACAATATGAGAATTGTGAAGGCGAGGCCCCGGCTTTGCCAATGTCGGTATTAATGGAAATTATGCAGTTATTGAACAAACAAGGGATAAAGGGACAATGTCCAAAATTAGTACCATTACGAAGACTATGCATGCACCTAGGTTATTAATTTCGGAAATCCAAACATTAGGAAGGTTGTCTTGAGGTTGTTGAGGACTCAAATCTCAATGATACTGAGAGAACTCCCAAGATAGATGGGTACATTACACATAGTTATGCTGTTTGCTGAATAAGAGATTTGTGGATTTCTTTGTGGTCAATATGATTTAGAGGGTTAGAATGTTTTTATTTGCACAAATTTCGTTATGTTTGGTAAGATTAATGACTAATTTATTCGATTATTCTCTGAAAAAAATTGATGTATAACTTTTATTTTTATTTTTTAATTACAGTTTAAATTTTGTTTCAATAATTGATGACAACATTAAATATGAATTTTTTATCCATGTAAAACTCTAAATTTAAATTACACCCTGTGATCACTACTCCACCACTCTCATTATTTAAATAAAATTTGAAAATAAATATGTTTAAATGCTTAAAACTTATTATCAATTAATGGTCAATTTAAATAATACATGTTTAATTTTTAAATAAGGTCTTAAATTTAGCCCCTTAATATAAGTATCTTTTACGTTTGGTCTTTAAATCAATTGAATTGGTGAATATGAAAAATGTCAACGTACATCGTAGAAATCGAGCATCTGATTTTGTTTTTTATGGAAAAATTTTCATTTGACATTCATTATATATGGGTGTGAAATTAGTGGAAGGAAAAGAAAGAAAGAAAAAGTAATATATAATCTGAAGGAAAAATATATATAAAGATTAAACAAAGAGAGATAAGATAAAACAAATACACATAAAAAATATATCTAAATATATAATTTTTTTTTGTTATATTGTGGGATTTGGTAGAAGATTATTTTAGGTTTATCTTTTTTTCGTTGGTTTAATCTTTTAAACAAAAAAAAAATTAAAGATGTCTATAAAATTAATTTACTTTTTGGTATCAAGTTCTAATCGCTTATATTGTTTAATTAATCCCTTTCGACTATTAAAATTCCTGTTTTATTTAAATTATATATATATATATATATATATATATATATATATATATATATTATGTGTGTGTGTGAGGTATATACATAAGGGAATTTCCATAACTAATTTCGAAAATATTAACTAAGTTTTATGGAAAATTTTAAATATCTAAAAAAGGTATATTTTTATTGATAAAAAAAATATTCATTATAATTTTTAATGTAATAAGAGTGTATTTGGTAATATATTTTAGCTAGTTTAAGTTTTTTAATATTTATCACTTTTAATATTTAAAATTAATTCTAAGAACTATTATTTAGAAAATCATTAAATTTAAGGTTTTATTAAAGAGAGTCTTGTGTCCTATAAATATTAACTAAATAACATTTAATGTATCTTATTAAATATTTTAATTTATTTTAAAAATAAAAATATTAATTTTATCAACGCTAATTTTAAAAATGAAAGTAGAACTTTTTTATAAAGAAAAATAAATATTTTCTATATTTAAATACACATTTTTAATAATAATTTTTCATTAAATATTTTATATTTTTTTTCTTTAATCATCAGTATTATAAAGACACTCATTAATATTTGTTTTATTTGCAAAAATGCATTGAGTAATTTTTTGTTATTTTAATATAAACAAAAGTAGATGCAACTTTAGTATCCAAATCCAAATACGTATGCAAGAAACAATCGAAACAAAGAGAAGTAGATTGCACCACATATATATTTTTTAAAAAACCATAACATCTAACTTGCTTATTAAAAAACTTTAAAGTGGGAAAATAAAATTAATTTTTTATGTTTATAAAATACTTAAATTAAATAAAAAAATAGATAAATCTTCACAATTTACAAGAGTTAAATCTTAAATTTTACATTAGATTTCATCAAAATTAATTACCCAATCAACCCAAACCAAAAAATCTCTATAAGAAAGAAAATCAACGTTATTTCTTCAAGGACCACTCTAATACAACCAACACCATATCTAAAATCCAACATAGCTGCTACGTACATTAACTTCGCTTTTATATTCTTACATACGATCGATTCTTTGTTTTACATTAAAGAGTGAACTTTCGAATATTTTGGTCATGATTTAATTTCGTTATTTTCGTTGAAAATACAAACTATTATTTATTATAATTTTTCGATTAAAAAAACAACAAACTTGTAATTTAGTTGTTTTCCGAATATAATTCAGCAATTTTTGTAAGGGTTTTTATATGAGCATTTTTAACCTGTCATCTATTTTAATTCTCACTCTCGCCAGTAAAAGTGTAAAACTCTTCTTTCCTTCAATTTATATTATTTTCTTTTTATATATAAATTCCTTTTTTGTTGATTAATTCATTGGCGGAAACATTAATAAAAACATAATTTATTCCTTAGCCCGTAAAATAATTAGAATTATCCTTACGAGGAAAACTTATTATATATGATTATGAAATTAACAATTAGGTTGTAAAAAGAGTAATAGCACATATAATCCACTTAGCAAATATAGAGAAATTTGCCCATCAAGATTGTAAGAATATAATTGGCCTTGCTGCATTTCAATTTAATGTTTAAACTTATATATTCACAAATTCAATCGGCAAACAGATAATAGCTATGATACTTGTCCTTTCTATCACATTCTACTAGTCTCTATTATTTCTAACTTTTCTTTACGCAGAGTTTTGAAAAAGCTTGATTCCCTCTCATAAATGGTTGAAATGGAGCATTTGAACTCGTTGCTCTTGGCCACCTTCCAATCCATGAAGGAAAAGGTCTTTCTCTAAACTCCTCCAATACGCATATATATATATATATATATATATATAGCAATTCCTTGGGTTTTTTGTTCTTAAATGTTACCTCCTCTCATTTTAATTCTTAAAATTATATACAAATATGATAACTTTAATATTTGGTTTTATGAAATAAGGGTTTATTTTTCAAACTGAATTTTATTGAAAGTGGAAATGTATCGTTTCATGCAATATTTTATTTTAACTTTTGATGTTAGGGTTTGGTGAATGACCACTTCACTTTTATCTACTCGTTGAAAGGGAATATTGGAGATCCATTCTACCTCGATGTGATACCAAACTTTTGCAGTGATGCCCGAGATACTCTCAAACTTTTAGCTTGTGCAATGTAATTTTGACTTCTTTGTTCATACATAACATGATATATATTTTTATGGGCAAGATTTAGGTGTGACTCTATAAATATTTTTGGTATTATCTTTTAATAAAAACACAAATATAATAATCATTAATGAAAATATAATGCATGTGCCAATTATATATATTGTGTTTTTATTAAAATATGGCATGAACAATATCTATAAAAGAACACATTAATTTTGTCCTATTTTTATATGCATATTTTTTTATTTTAAATTTAGTTCTTTTCTTCTTAAATGCAGGAATGACAGTGATTTGAATTTCAATCTTATGAAGGAGTATGTTTATAAACTTAAAGGCAGTTCTTCGAGGTAATTTTTTGTATCAGAGTTTAGTAGTGCAATGGTAGGTAAGTTAAATCTCTAGCAATGACAATATGATTTAGTAAATATACATTCATTTTATGTAAAGATTAAAAAAAATCAGATACAATTTTGTTGTCTTTATGATTACACGTTTGAGAAGTGGTAGATTTTTTTGTAGTTTTTTTCTTATTATATTTAATTTTAAAATGGTCGGAAATTGGCTCATAAAAAAAACTTGTGAAAAATAAAATAAAATATACTCATATCTAACTATTACTTTATGTATCCCAGCATAGGCGCTTGTGGAATGGCATTAACATTTGCTGAATGTGAACGCGCTATTGACATGTCCTCCAAAGAAGAGTACTGAAAAGCTATCCATAATTAGATGAACATGAATTAACTTTATATTTATAAGCACAATCAGTGACAAAACACATTAACTAATTCCATAGAACCCTGTCTTAAGAGAAAAATCTCTTTGCAGGTGTTTGAAAGCATTGAATCAAGCTCAAGTAGAATACTCTGTTCTTGAAGAAAAGCTCCATATTTGCCTTCAGGTATTTTTTTTATATATATAGATTTTTCAGTTTAAAGTAATTCAGGAAATTATATGCATATATGTGTTACTTGTTAATATGTAAAGTACATGTGTGTGTTCAAAATTTGTTGGGCTGAGACTAAGAGCAATTAGAGAGGATCTAATTAATTAACAAACATGAGATAATGGGTTTTAATTTGCATACTACTTTCCGATTAACTACTACTCAAGGTGTGTTATTTTATTAAATAATTTTCTTATCTTATGATTAAATAATTAAAGGCTCTTTTATTTTAACCTTATTATTTTAAGATTTGTCAAAATAGTTCTTGAACAACGTAAAATGTTATTTAATTTTTTAACATATGCAATCGTTAATTATTTTATTTTTTATACTTTTAAGAATTGATTAAAATAATTTATAATTTAAACAAAATATTATTTTAATTTTCAACATATGCAATCATCAATAATCTTAATTTTTAATTTTAACGAATATAATTATCAATCACTTAGTTATCATCCATCAATGCATGTTATTTGTTTTTATTATCACTTAAACAGTAATTATTAAGACAATTTGACATGATGTAGTGAATATTTAATCAATTTCCATAGAGTTTAGAAACTAAATTAATAAATTTTGATAAAAATAAATTTTAAAGGCATGTAACTTTATCATGATAATTAAATATCACGATTTATTGAAAATCTAAAAATATGAAAAAAAAATATTAATGAAAGAATAAGAAATAGTATAATTCACATAATTTTTATATTTTTAATAAAATTTAATCAATAATAAAACGTGTATTATAAAGAATATATTAAAAAATATGTTACTAGCATTACTCATGTAATGTAATATAACTATTTAACATTAAACATGTTAAATCAGCTTGTTTATTAGAATAATTAATATTTATGTGATGATATATAAATAAAAATGATTGATAGTTATACATGTTAAGAATTAAAATGATTAATAATTAAATAAGTTGATGATTAAAATAAATTTTTATTAATATTATAAACTATTCTGATAAATTCTCTAGACAGTAGGAATTAACATAATTAATGTTTATATACTTTGAGGATTAAAAAATATTTTATTAAAATTTAAAATTATTTTAAGGAATTTTAGAAATAATTGGAGTCAAGTTGTAATTTATTCTTTAAGGTTGTCACACACTTTTCAAAATAAAAATTCATGTTTGAAATATTAGACTATTCTAATTAAAAACTTTTCAATTCTTAATAATTCTGTTTCACGTAATACATATTTTATAAGTCTCTGTACGTACTAGGTATGTAAAACTTTAGTATTAGCACATATAATTGTTGTTTAACTTCAACCATTAGTTATGTTTATTATATGTCTTACAACGATTTTATTTTTTATTTTTTGTTATACAGCTTGAAAGAAGAATAGTGCTCCTAGCAGCACAGGGAACCAATAAATGAGAGTACTATATTTAAACTTGTGTAAATCAATTTCAATTCATTGATATTCGTTTTTCATTGACATCATTATTACTCTTTTCTTTTACAAATTTAAGTCTTTGATTTTTTAAAAGTAAATAATATTGATTATGAGATCCGCTGAGTGTTAAGTTAATTAATGATAATCTAACTCAATTATTATTATTATATGTATTTTAATCGTAGCCTTAAATATAATATGCACTTTTATAAATATCTCACCTTAAAATATTTGTTCTGCTTGGATCCTTATTTTTCTAAAGATGAACTATTTTTCTATTAACGTCGAGTTAAACGATTATAATTGAACTTACAATCGTCACATGACTACGAAGAGAAACGGTGGAAGGAAGAGAATGACCGAAATAGGCACAAAAGGAGAATTTATAATTAAAAAGAAAAAAAAGTTGGAGAAGTTTAAGCAAAGATAATAATAAAAGAATAAATAAATAATAATTAAGTTAATATTTAACAAAAATATCTTATAATAAATATTATCATCAAACGTATAAATCAACGCTTAATATATAATTTTGAATTTTAAAATTTAAATTTAATTAAAATAAGTATTTAGAAGGAGAAGTTAAAATTATTAAAATAGAAGTCGGAATTTAAAACAAAATATTATAAAAATAACTATAATGAAAATAAAAAATATAATTAAATTGAAGAAATTTCATATGAGATGACAGAGCACCTCATCCTTTAAGAGGTATGTGTCCAGTTTCCAATTCACACTCAAAATGAGAGGGCTATATACTGAGAATCAACATAACACTCTCTTCCTCTCACTGCTCTCACTAACATGTCTATGCATTCAGGCAACAGCAACAGCAACAGCAACAGCGTCAACCTCCACAACACAGCAACTCATGCACTTCAAAAACTCCCTCCCCAACCCATCACTCCTCCATAATTGGCTACCAACCAAACCCCAATGTTCATTCACAGGAATCACCTGTACTCACCACCACATCACTTCCATAGACCTCACCTCAATTCCCCTGTCCACAACATTCTCCGTCATCTCCACACACTTACTCACACTCCCACACCTTCACCACCTCACTCTCAAATCCACAAACCTCACTGGCACTCTCTCTTCGCTCTCCAACACCACTCTCACAACCCTTCACCTCTCCCACAACTCCCTCTCTGGTCAACTCTTTGACTTTCCCCTCACTTTGCGCCTCCTTGACCTTTCCTCCAACAACTTCTCTTCCAACCTCTCTTCCTTCCCTCAGTGCTCTTCTTTGGAATACCTCGACATCTCGGACAACTATTTCTCCGGCGATCTCTCTGTCTCTCTTTCTCCCTGTCACAACCTCGTTTACCTCAATGTCTCCGGTAACCGATTTTCCGGCACTGTCCCGGTTCTCCCCGCTGCTTCCCTTAAGTTTCTTTATCTCGCAGGAAATGATTTCCGGGGAGAATTTCCGGCCGGGCTTGCGGAGTCCTCGCCGGGGCTGGTTGAACTCGACCTCTCCTCGAACAAACTCTCTGGCCAGTTGAGGGTTGAAACCTTCGCCGAAATGAGGAGCTTGAAGAAGCTTTCCCTTTCGTTCAATGGATTCTCGGGTCCGTTGTCGGAATCTCTATCGGAATTAACGAGTTTGGAGTCTCTGCATTTGAGTTCCAACAACTTTTCGGGTTCGATACCGAGAGGGTTTTGTGAAAACGGTAAAATCAGTTTGAAAGAACTGTATTTGCAGAGCAACATGTTATGGGGTTCGATTCCAAGTACACTTGGTAACTGTTCGGAGCTTGTTGCATTGGATTTGAGTGTGAATTACTTAAAGGGTAGCATTCCTTCGAGTTTGGGGTCTCTTTCGAAGCTTCGTAGTTTGATCATTTGGATGAACAATCTTCATGGAGGAATACCACAAGAGTTGATGCATATGAAAAGCCTTGAAAAATTGATTCTTGACTTCAATGAGTTGAGCGGTGGCATTCCTTCTGGCCTAAGCAACTGCACGCGCCTGAATTGGCTCTCACTGTCGAATAACCAGCTCGCTGGCGATGTTCCGGCGTGGATTGGCCGGCTCTCTAGCCTTGCAATACTTAAATTGAGTTATAATAGCTTCTCCGGGAGGATACCCGCGGAGCTCGGCGATTGCCGGAGCTTGATATGGTTGGATATGAATACTAACATGCTGAGTGGGGCAATTCCTGCTGAGTTGTTTAAACAATCTGGTAAGATTGCGGTTAATTTCATGAGTGGGAAGAAAACATTGGCGTATGTGAGGAATGATGGGAGTAAGGAGTTTCATGGGGCTGGGAGTTTGTTGGAGTTTGAAGGGATAAGGCAAGAGCAATTGAATAGCAGGATCTCAAAGTGGAAGTTCAATAGAGTTTATCCTGGTAAGCCTCTTAGTTTTGACCATAACGGTTCCATGATTTTCTTGGATGTGTCACATAATATGTTGTCTGGTAGTATTCCTAAGGAAGTTGGAAGTATGTACTATTTGTTCATCTTGAATTTGGGGCATAACAATATATCTGGAGAAATCCCACAAGAGGTTGGGAGGTTGAGAAATCTTGGCATACTTGATCTCTCTAACAATAGGCTTGAAGGACAGATTCCACCAACCTTGACACACCTTTCCTTTCTCACTGAAATTGATTTGTCCAATAACTATCTATCAGGGTTGGTTCCTGGATCTGGACAGATTGCTGCTCTTCCTGCTAGTGGATTCCTTAATAATTCTGGTCTGTGTGGAGTTCCTCTCCCTCCATGTGGCAAAGACTCGGGAAATAGTCCTAGTGCAAGTGCTCATCATAAGAAGTCTCGGTTAAATCTTGCAGGGAATGTGGCCATGGGTTTGCTGTCTTCACTCTTTTGTGTCTTTGGTTTAATTATAATTGCCATTGAGGCAAGAAAGAGGAGGAAGAAAAGGGAAGCTGCCCTTGATGTCTATGTTGACAGTCGTCCTCATTCGGGGACAGCCAATGTTGGGTGGAAGCTTGCCAACCCACGTGAGGCGCTTAGCATAAACCTTGAAACGTTTGAGAAGTCACTTCAAAAGCTTACCTTTGCTGATCTTGTTGAAGCTACCAACGGCTTTCACAGTGACTGCATTGTTGGTTCTGGTGGTTTTGGTGTTGTGTACAAGGCTCAGTTAAAGGATGGGAGTGTCGTGGCCATCAAAAAACTGATGCATGTTAGTGGACAAGGGGATAGGGAATTTACTGCTGAAATGGAAACCATAGGGAAAATCAAACACCGGAACCTTGTTCCCCTTCTCGGCTACTGCAAGGTTGGAGAAGAAAGGCTTTTGGTTTATGAGTACATGAAATATGGAAGCCTAGACGTTTTGCATAACCAAAAGAAAGCTGGGATCAAGCTGAATTGGGCAGCAAGGAAGAAAATTGCAATTGGAGCTGCCAGAGGATTGGCCTTTCTTCACCACAATTGCACTCCACCAATAATTCATAGAGACATGAAATCAAGCAATGTTTTGCTTGATGAAGACTTGGAAGCTAGAGTTGCTGATTTTGGAATGGCAAGACGTATGAATGCTATGGATACTCATTTAAGTGTCAGCACACTAGCAGGAACTCCTGGTTATGTTCCTCCTGAATATTATCAAAGCTTTCACTGTACCACTAAAGGTGATGTTTATAGTTATGGTGTGGTTTTATTGGAGCTGCTTACAGGAAAAAAGGCAACGGATTCAACTGATTTTGGTGATGACAATCTTGTGGGATGGGTTAAACTACAAGCTAAACTGAAAAAAAGTGATGTTTTTGATCCAGAGCTGAGGAAAGAGAACCCCACTCCTGAGGTTGAGCTTGCTCAGTACTTGAATGTTGCTTTTGCTTGCTTGGATTATCCACCGTTGCAGCGTCCCTCGATGATTCAAGTGTTAGCAAGGTTTAAGGAAATCCAAGCAGGATCTACTCTAGATTCCCATTCTACCATAGCCACTGAAGATGGAGGTTTTGGTGCTGTTGAATTGGTAGAAATGAGCATAAAAGAAGCCCCTGAATTAAGCAAGAAATAGGCTACAATTTTAGTAAAATTTAGGAACATTCTTTTGGAGGCAAAAGAAGAGGAAGGAGATGTTGCCATCAGATCAGCTCCTAAAACACCTTTTAAAGAATTTTAGAAAAGAGAACGGATAAAATGGTATTGCTACCTGTTTGTAACTCTTAACATCTGATGTCTGTAATATTGTTACTTCTAAAAAGGTGTTTATTTTGTGATAAATTTGTATATAAAATATCTTCCATTATGAACCTTTTTTTAAAATATTTTTATGAAGTACTTCCCAGTTCTCGTCAACATGAGCCTTAAAATGAGCTGTTGAATCTGCAAAATCAATTGATGGTGGTTAAGTGGAGGATCTTCAATTTAGGTCCTTTCTTGAGCCTTGTTTGTTTTCAATCATTTTATCAACTGCAATCTTTGCTGCGATTTGCAATACAATACGCCAAAAAGTGTCTTCAAATGACTAAAACACCAAGTTCTTTATTAATAAATCCATCCCATATTTCTTGATCTAAAAGAGAAAGAGAAAGGGATGACACTTCAATGTAAGACTTGCATGCCTTTATCTGTTGTCAACAACAAAATGATTGAAACTCGTCTATTACAAGTTGAGAGAAATTAGTAAAAGATGAATAAAATTGTGTACAAAAGCAATTTCCCAAAACACTGAAACAGATACCTGTTTTATGAGTCTGTTTTTATTGGTTGGAGTTATTAGAAATAATAAGATCGGGAAAAAGAGCTGATAGAGCGACAAATGCTAGTTGTCTAAGTGAATCAAGTAGAAGAATGGCCCTTACAGTAACCTATGGAAAGTGAAAACTATTGTAATTATTGACTAGGACTTGGGACATTGATATATATAATATACTTGGGACCACAAATAAACACCATATGTTCAGCTTCCCTTTACATTACATTCGTTGGACCATCTTTGACAAAATGAGTCCTTCATCTCATAATTGAAGATCTTTTACATACGAATTTTAGTATTTTCTTGAGTTTCAAGAATCTTGAACTGACTTTGAGTACATGCTTGTTTCTATTCTAAGAGATAAAGAAAAATGGAGCAAATCAATAACACGTCTTATCTGTTCTCTATTCTACTTGGTGCTTTCCATGTATGTGATCTGGACCAAAGATTCTGTAAATTATTTAATTTCTCTGTGACTATAGAATGCATCACTGCATCCTTGTAGGACTAGTAGCCTCCACTATAAGGAATCCAGATCATGTATGAGAGAGAGGTAGAGTGAGTGTATGTAAATAATGTAAGAAAGTTATTATTATTTAAACATTACCTCTCTTCATATGTATGTATGTGTATGTCTATGCATGTGAACTATAAAAGGCAAAATTTTATTGATAAACATTAATAACAATTCTTATGATTAATTATCACTTAAACAAAAAATTTCTTAAATATTTAATGCTAAATGTTAACTACTAAATATAAAATTTATCATATATATGATTAAGCTGTTAGCATTAAAATTACTAGATAATAATGCTGATGATTAAGCTTTACTCGAGGAAAATTAATTATATAAAAACATGTATAGGAAAATTTAATTGATTAACACTAATAAAAATGCAATAATTAATTATTACTTAAGGATAAAATAGTTTTAAAATATCCAATGACATTATACACTACTAAAAATTCATTTTTAAATAGAAAATTCATCATATACATAGTTAAAATATTTAGTATTAAAATTACTTGAAAATAATGTGGATTATTATGCTTTATTTGAGAAAAAATAAATACTATACAAAATGCTTATTTAAAATACTATATAAAATTTATTTGCGCATAGTAAATATTTATTCATTGATGATTTAAAATACCATATAAAATTTAAAATACTTGATGCAAAGAATAAGATAAAACAATTTTTATATTTTAAAATTCAAAGTACAAAGGTACGTCTGAGCAATTGAATACGCAACGTGACCTGCCCCTTTTGTGTCCTTTCATAGCCCCAGGAGTAGGTTTTCCGTATTCATATAATTAACGTTGCCTTGTTTCTTCTCCTTTATAATTTTATGATCGTTTTGTTTCGATATTATAACTATTAAGAAAAATTATATTCATAAATTTTAATATTTAATGGAATTATATTTAGTATTTTTTTTATAAAATTAATGATTTTTTCATCCATATAATTATATTTTTTCAAAATCTGACTACAGTTATTTTATTATTGTTATGTCCCTAGTTTTGAACTCAGTTAACCTTCAGCGGTGGTGATGTCATGAAAGTACATACCGTGAAACAAACAGTTCAATTACATTATGTGAAGAAAATCGTTTGGTACACAACCTTCACTTAAAATGAGACCAGAGAGAAAATAGAGAAGTAATATATAAAAATGTAATGGTTGATGTGATGTGATAGAAAAAAAATAGTATTAAATAAATTATAATATTATTAAAATGTTTATAAATAAAAAAAAATTTAAAAATATCATTGTAGGCCTTATTTTTAAAATGAAGTGTATTTTTTCACATCTTAAAATATATACCATCTAAAATCAAATTTTAATAGAAAGAGCTAAATATAATGATTCTGTCAAACTTTATTGGTCTATACTTATAATTTATTTTTATTTTTTTACTACTCCAAGAACCTCAAGAAGAAAATAAGAAATAGAGTGGAACTATGTTATGATTAGATGTTAGTAATATTTTAAATAATTTATTTTGTTCCTTTTCCCAGTCACACAAAACAAAGGAAAAGGAATACATAGCCCCAAAAACCAAACTGGGAAAGAAATTTGGAAGTGAAACTTGAAATGCTTTGGTGGAGTAAATGATTGTGGGTCATGAATGGTTCATGTCTACATAAATTATTGATGACAAGAATGTAATTGTCCTTGTGTTTGAGTAGCAAAATGGAATAGTATTGCCCAAAGTTGAGTCTTTGATTTGAGTAAGGCATTTTAAGACATTGGCCACAGAAATCAGAATGACCAGTGGGCCAATTGGCCACCTTGTTGTGTCGGAAAGCTTACCCCACAACATGGCCTTTGAAAGCTTGAATGAGCTTTTGTGTCCAGTGGGATGAAGTGCATCAACCCAACCGAATATTAGGATTAGGCTAAACTAATGCTTCTTTTGTTGCAAGAAAAACAAATGAATAGAGAAAAGATTTAGAGGACAATTAAATAATAATTTATTTTTTTTTAGTTAAAGCAAATATGGGTGTTTTAAGAGAGTGAGCTTTCTTCCAAATTATCTCTTCAATTTGGAGAGAAAATAAATAAGATAACCCTGATTTCTTTTTTTCTTTTTCTTTTCTTGCCTTAACAAATGGGATAAGAGATATTAAAAACTGTATTTGCTCCCTATTCTATTTTTCTCCACGAATTTCTCACTCTAAAGAAAGGATAAGGGGTAAGGAGGTCAAAATGTAGAGCGATAATTATTTATTCAAAAATTATCTGTTAATGTCATAATAATATATGATGAATATTCTTTACACTATACATATATTTTTAGTCAAAGTCGATCTATAACCAAAAAACCGGGCCCATCTAACCTAATCAACCCACAGAAAATCACTGGGCCGTTCATCAGTAAGTAAAAGAGTTTTTTTTTTTCACATCATCTGCTTTTGCTAGTTACACCATTAAGTTTTTTAGAATTCAATGTTCAGTATCATAGTTAATATATTTTCAAAAATTAAATTCTGAAAATGAGAATAAAAAATGGTGAAAATAACAATAAAAAAGTGATACAAATAGCAATCTCCATAAGCAAAACATGAATTGGGCTCAGTTAGAAAAAGAGTGTCCAAACCCAATCATTAACATCTCGTTGACGCCGTTACTCTCAAATTTTCATAGATAATGGGATGCATTCACGGCTTAAGAGTAAGAAAAATTATATCGTTAAAATTGACAAAGTGATTAGAGATATAGTTCCTAAATAATGTCAAAATGTGAATAAGCTCGTATGAATATTCTTGTGAATTTTTAATGGCACACTACTAGCAATCACATGAATACATAAGAAGTATTTTCTTCGGCTTAATTTAATTCATATTATCGTAAATAAAAGTTGTGTTGGTAAAATTGTAACTTTACTTATCACTTGAAATACATCCGTGTGGATTGGATAACTTCTCTTTAATATGATGAAATTACAAAAATATTAATTATTTTGAATCATATTGGTAACACAGAGAACATGTTCACATATTTTGGTTCTATTCTTTTTGTAATAATTCAGGTTTTACTACTATCTTGTTCTACATGAATTAGGTATTTTACAAAACTCTCATAATCCAACTTCTCTTTCTTCCATCGGCTTGTTAGATTTTTCTTTCAACTCCCCTACAGTGTAACTGATATATATCCTAGTTTAAAGTGTCGCATTGCCAACATTCCAATATTGGACTTGAAATGTTTGATTTGTTTTTGCTAGTATGATCTTTATTTTGATGAAAAATTAATTTATTGATATAAATTTTATTAGCATATAATTATGTTATATCGTAAATAATTAATTTTATTAATATAACAAATATTATTAGTATATTGTACTACTTTTTAGTATAACTTCATAGTGTTTATTCAAATACTTTAACTTTTATTGAATAAACATATCAATGGAGACAATCTTAACATCTATATTTTCTTAAAAATATATATAATTTTTTTATTTAATTGACATATAATACTTCTCAAAATATGTAAGTGTTATCACTGCAGTTTTGTGAAGAATTTTAACATTAATTTAATCTCAAGAAAAATATTTAAAAAAAAATTATTTTGTATAGTATCACAAGATTAAAAGACTAAAATCATATTTTTATGACTGAGAATGCAAATTAAGGGCGATTTCTCATTTTTTTTATGAATGAGAAACTAAACTAATGTCAATTTTAAAATAATTAATTTGATGTGAATTTTCATGATTTAATTAAAGTAATGATAAAATTATTTAGAAGATCAAAGAGGTAACTAAAATATGTAGTTTAACTTTTGTCCCCCTGCTTGAGTCTATAGTTTTAGTATAAAAAGAACAAATCTTCATGCTTACAAAATGATGCGAAACTACGAGTATGTCAAGTTTTAAATTTAGTTAAGATATTATAATTTATTTACTCGTGAATTGATCAATACAGTAACAAAGCTGTTATGTGAATAAAAATAAAGGAAGTTTATTATCCGAAGTTATTTTTAACTTTCAAAAGCTATTTTTTCTTATTTTTACCCTTACCGCCAAAAATAAATGAGAAAATTATGATTTTTTATTATTTAACACATTAATTAATTAGTAGATTAAAAAAATAAAATTGTAAATATTTAATCAACTAGTTGATAATAAAAAATATTTAGCTATTTAATCAACTGATTGATAAAACTGTTTAATTACTTAGTTAAATATTTAATAATAAATAAATAAATGAATAAAATAAGTATTTTTTTGTAATATTATATCAATGTAATACTACATATTTTAAATAATTTTTTTTAACAGATTTCAACTAACTTTATAATTCATTTTATCTAATAGCCTTATTTCAATCAATTAACTGCACAAACTCTAATTCTAAACTTTCAACTATAAAATTTAAGTTTTCAATTAACTTTATAACTACAGGTCGATAGCATTGAACTTATTTTAATAAACAGAGCCAATGTATACATTCATTCTTAAATTCTCGAGTAATATTTACTCTTTTTTTTTTCATTCCATTGTAAATTTAATTACGAGTCGACATATATTTAAAAACAAAAGTGTGTGTAGTTGAATTGAGGTTTAGGAATTAGGAGGAAGGCCAATATCTCAGGTTAAATTTATTGGCTCACTGGAGTGATTTAGTTTAGATTTTTGTTTTCCTTATATTCACGATTTTTGACAGAATAAATAAATAAATAAATATATATATATATATATATATATATATATATATATATATATATAATAAGATGAGTAACATAAGAAAAATGACATGAAGAAAAAAAATACTGCAAAAAAGTGTTGCAAAAATATTGAAAAAGAATAACATACTCTTCCTAGTAACCCTCACTGAAAGCATCTAAATTTGGTTCCCTTCGTGGTTTTAGATTCGTATGGTGGTTCTCATATTGGTTCAACTTCTCATCCTTATTTCACCCTTAAGTTTTCTGAATTTGTCGTGTTATTTTAATAAGAAAAGCAAACATAAAAGTTGTTTGGGATACATTGCATTGTATATATGACTATCCAGTTAACATCGATCTTTCTCGGCACTTATCCAGGTAAAAAATTCCTTTTAAATCGAGTTTTTCAAGTGTACAAGTAAAAGTTTATCGTTAATTTAATTTAAATATATCTTAATTTTACCCATCTAAAATTTAAAGAAGAAAAATACATTCTTATTTGTTGACTTTAGTCACCAAGTGATAAAAAAAAGTCATAAAATAAGTTATTAAGAATGAATACATGCATACCTCGTACATAAAGAGAGATTTTATTTGAAACATACATTATTTTAATTATTTGGATTATACATTATTTGTTTATATAATATTTTTGTATATTTTTTTCTCTCTTTAATTACATAAAAAGTTAAAATTTTAGAAACACCATTTAGAGAGAGAGAGAGAGAGAGAGAGAGAGAGAGGGAGAAAGAGAGAGAGAACAGAAAAGTAGGGCAGCATACAAATGTTACTGGTATCTTAGTTTTTAATTAGTACACCAAGATAAGGTAGATTCATGGTATAAAACTAGAAAAATCAACCACACTCTCATGGTGTGCTTGGAAGCGATGAAAACTACTGGACTTGTAGATGGAGAAGAGCATGCTTCGATCATGACCAGAAACATTTTCAATTTTCACTCCTTCGCCTCTACACTTATTCAGTTTTCATCTCTACAAAGCACACCCTCAATAACAAATTACATATACATTTTATAAATATTATGTTCGCTACCCTACCATAAGAAATTACCGAGTTGAGATGGAGATTGAGAGTCTTCAAGATCATTTGATGGAGAGTGAACATGTCTCCCTTCATATGTGGTTATCACCATCCTTGGATCCTCAGCTAAGCGTTCCACGCGTTTCTTTACACGACAATTATCTTGTGTGCAACGGTAGTAGCTTCTACATGCAATGTAGGCCAGAACACATTATTAGAGAACTCGCTCATGCTTGTACTTAAGAGAGTAATTATTATATATGTGAACAGACACAATATTTAAGCTCCGTAGTAGTTTGAAACAACCATTAACTGAGAATGATATGAGGTGCCAATTGTATATAGTTGTAGTATTAATGATTGTTTAATATCAATCTTGATGCTAAAATCATAATATTGATCATTATAATGCAAGAGCTATATATCAATACCACAATAAAGGCACTATAATTAAAGACAATTCGTCTTTTCTTTTCTACGCGCGCGTATCCACTTGAAAATCCTTAAAGACGCAAAAATGCTATAAAGGGGTATTTGTGAGTAGAAGTGTTAGCAGATAGATCTCTTGATCTGTCCGGTGAGAGTGTAAGGAAAATAAAATGCTATAAAGGGGTATTTAACCTCGGCAATTTTTCTTTCTCTCCTTAGAACAAAAATTGTTTTACATAAACATATATAAATTGAGAACTTATCATAAAAAGTGAAATCATGCTTTTAAGTCTTTAATTATTGTAGCCATCCCCACATTAGTCAGAAAAATTAAAATTGATCTTCCCAAAACCAGTGGCAAAGCGCGCTATATATGTATATAATTATGATAAAAAACAAACAATAATGAGAGAGGGGTGGTGAGATTGGAGAGAGAATATATATTGCAAGTGTTGGGATAGAATCGATCATCGAAGGTTAATTTGATGTCAAATTAAAATTCTTTCAACTTTAAACTTTTAAATTAAAGCGAAACAAAAAGAGAGAAACTTTGAACTCGTGAGTACCTGGGGTGCTGCGTGTTCTTCACCACTTTCTGTCCATACTTCCTCCACTTGTAGCCATCGTCCAACACATCCACATCGCTCATAGTCTTGAAACAAAACCTAGGCTCTCTCACCTTCCTTCTTCCCTTGATTTTCTTCATCTTCATGGCTGAAATTCCTAGATGATGATCATCTACCCCACTTCTTTTACCGCTAAAGCAATCAGCCACTTCTCCCAATGCCCTAAATTCAACGATAATGAAAACTCAATTCTCTTTAGCTATAGAGCACGTCACTGTGTTATATTATATATGATGGTTATTGTTATTACTATTTTGATAATCGTATGGTTGTTAATTAATTTATTTAATTACATAATAAACATGCAGGGTTGGTTGGATATATGAAAATTAAAGCGAAGGATTAATTGTCTCACCATGGATTTATACTCGATCTATGCAAGGAAAGAAATTGAGCTCCTCCAAAGCTAGAAGTGAGGTCTGCTCTTGACTTTTGAGGAGTAGTTGAGAATAGGGTTTCTGATAGATTGGATGCAGAATCAGTTTGAGATATTGCAAGTGAAGAAGGAGCTATGGAACTGAAGGTTTTCAAAGAAGATTGATGGCAGCCCAAAGGAGGGAAGGAAATGTTTGTTGGAAAGGGAAAGAAACCCATCTGTGTAGTCATGTTCTGATCTTGTTCCTCGAATAAGCTATGGTGAACAATAGTTTGAGAAGTTGTTGACATCACTTCTTATGATCTTTCTCTTCCTCTTCCAACTACACCTTTCCAAACAATCTCTATATAGAAGTTGGTGATCCTTCTAGAGGAAGAGGTTTGGTGAGAAATATAATAGAGGGTTTCTCTCAGACCTTGGGAACGAGATTACACCTTAATGGAAAGCATAAACTTATAACGTTGCAAAACCAACTTTCCCTTTTTCACTTTGCACTCTTTTTATCTCTTTCTTCGAGGATATGCCAATTTCTAAAATGTCTTTGTCATTTATCGTATATTCCAACATGTGAAGTGTGAAGGGTGAAATAACTAACTATATGGACATATATATTATGAATAAGATAGATAAATGAGGCGCGGGAACTAAATAGCGGAAAATGTTGAAAAAGGAGGCGAGAAATATGCTAAAAGTTTAAGGTAAGAGAGACTTTTAGTAACAATTCAACCAAAGCTGGCAGTTTGCTGCAAATAGTGTGGTACTGTTTGCCTAAAAAGCTTGGAAATTCCATGTCCTTCATGGTTAGTGGAATTTCACTGTGCCTTGGAGGTCAACATTACACGACAAAATGGCTCAACAGAGAGGTTGTTTGATATCTTTGCCCTCAAGATGTATATGAAACTTCCATGCAACATCCCCGTTACTGTGGATAATAATTATAATATGGGCAAAAGGGAAACCTGTTGAGTGCACAATAATAGAAATAGATACATATAACTAAATATAAGTGAAAATTATCGATCATTATATTCATCAATTCGCTATAAAGTACCTAAAAAAAGGAGTAAAAAGATAACCGGGGATACATATATCTATCACTTTTTAGAGTTTCTTTTGGATAATTTTATTGTAAAAGTTATTATTTTTCGGGTCACCATTTGTGTTAAAAGAAAAATATATATATCGGAGGACAATGATGATGGATATTGGATGCATTATCTATCATATATACCCCTCTCTGCATCGGCGGTGAAGGATCATTATGATGGGTGATTGCCTATTTGAATATTTGCGGCCAAAAAAGTGTCTTGCCTTTCTCATATCCCTTTTGCTCTTTAACTTTCTAAAACTCGAACTAACCCCACATATACCAACCTTTTTTCTCAAATTCCAAACCAAACTTATAATATTGTTATCATATCTTGAATTAAAATTAAGTGTGACAATCATGATTAACTTTATATTTTGTCATGCCTAAAAATTTGTGGACCAATCTAGCCATTGAAAGCATATAGTTTATCTACCCGTTTGAGAATTTAGCCATAATTCAATAATTATGTTTTCTTTGTACTTCATTTAACTGTTTAACCGAGCACAGAATGATGAACTCCATTTGTAGAAATTAATGAATGAAGTAAGTGTTAGGCGCGGAATAACTTCTTTTCAAAGGAAATAATCACTTCAAAATATCTCTTACAAGTTATTAATAACATAAGTGATTTTTTTTCCTGAATAATAACACGAATCAAATACAGTAACACACACTTATAAAGTAACTGCTGAATAAGAATTTCTGTAGTATATTAAATAAGGACTATTTGATATTAGAAAAAAAAGAAAAAGAAAAAACTGTATAATGTTGATTGTGAAATCCATAAACAGTATATTATTGAAGTGCGAGAGACAAATTGCCACCAAAGGAGTCCTTTAATTAATGTCACCTTCTCTTTCCCAGAGTACCTAACTAATGGTAATAAAAATAAATTGTGTTTTCCCAAATCGTATGTGTACGTCGTTTTTCACATGATAGGTTTAGCTCTTGAATTAATATAATTGTTAAAGTTGGTAACAACGAAAATTTGAGTTAGGAACCTTACTTTTAAAAACAAAAATTTCGTGTGTTTGTATGAAAAGCCAAACAACCAGCTCGTGATTGTTGTTCGTGTAATCATATGATTGTGTGGATCGCCTTACGGCTACAGCTCGTATCACTATAATTACCTGAATCTAGTTTGTCTCTAATCTTTGTTGCGAAATTTATGCATAACTCTATATGCACACATAACTAATATTAGATATCAAAATTAATAAAATAATATATCATTATATCTGAATTTTTTATCAGTGTTTTTTTATTAATCTAATAATTCATTCATGCGGTATTAAATGTATTTACTTACAAATATGTATTATAAGAGTAATTATTTACTTATATTTTAAATCATATACGACACATTGAATAAAAATAGAGAGATAAAGTAAATTACCTATTAAATTATGAAAAAATTTATAAGATAGATTAAATGATTCGATTAATAAATGTATTTTAATAAATAAATTATTAAATATATTATTTTACTAAATTTGATGTTTCTTATGATTTTATCTTGCGTTTATATAGAGCGACAAAGAGAGAGATAACAATATTTGCTTGACTGGTAACATATTAAACATATTATATATTCTTAAAAAAATTTAAACATGATTTAATAATGTCGGTACTTTTTTTTTCCTCGGCAAATTTAGTTAAAGAAATATGAGCGTCTTAAATTGTATATGCGTTTTAATTATTCTTAAGGAGTATATGACGTAAAATGGTGTTTTTGATTAAAAAGCAAAAGCAAACAATAACTTCTCATAAGAAAACCAAGACTTGCCTTAAACACAAATTATTGGAATTCCATGGTTTGTATTTTTATATCTTTGCTTTATATTACAAATATGAATTCTCAACTAAGTAACATTAGTGAATAAAGTTATTTCACCAAAATTCATGCTATCTACATGTACATTTGCATCATATTATTATAATGATATATTAACAATTTCTATGAATGACCTTAAATTTCTACATTTTTCTTTGTTACAATGGTATTAAATTTGCCAAACCATTAATATATCCTACGTACTAAAGAAACAAACTTAACAACAAGATTAGGCTGCTGGCATACATAAAGTTAACTCTAACCAACATATTATAATTTTAAACTCGAAAGGCTCGAGGATTAAAACTTGGGATTCTCTATGAAATACATTAGTGCTTACTTTCTTTACTTATTTTTTTCCTTTTTGTCGTGATATTAAATACACATGTACATGCTGAGAAATATAATAAGTACCTTCAGTCAGCAGTGATATCTATCCTTTCTTAAGAAAAGAAGGGATACAAGTTGATGTAGGGGAATAGATTACAATGATATCGTTTTAGTAGGAGATTATTGACCTACTCAGAGACTTGTATTATAATTTGAATCCTAAAAACACTGAAACAAATACAATACAGCGAACTCAATTGACCATTGCAATAATCTAAAGAAGTGTTTCGTCTGAATAAATTAAAATTCCTTATTAACTAGGAAAAAATAGAGATGGTTTAATAAGAAGAAAATAGTGTGAAATAGGTTTTGCTGGCGTTAGGCTAACGTGGTGGTGATGTAAGCGTGAATACGTACAATGGGAATAATATCTTGCATCATCTACGGGAAGGTCCAATGATATTGATTTTTAAATGGCAATGGCTTTTCTTTTTTGGTTTGAGCCCTAAGTAAGCTGGAGAAAAGGCATAGGGGTGGCAAACATACATCATTTCTTTTTGTCTCTACTTATAGGTGGCCATTATGACTTTCAAATTACCCCCTATTAATAATCTATGCCCTTCCTCGCCTCACTTTTTCCTTTTTCATTTTCATCATTTTTCGTGTTAACCCATATATATTGCAAAATTAATCTTTGCTTATTGCAATTTCATTGCATATATAAATTCCCCCTTGTTCTGTATTATAAAACGCTTTTAAATAATTTATACAGATTTAAAATCATTAAATTAGTTGATATAGTCTTCAATTTATAAAAAAATATTCAAGCTTTTAAAATCATTATTGTTTAAATGTTCATAAATTCTATTAAATTTCCTACATAACTTAATTGAATATTTAATGTTTCGTCAATTTTAATATACTAATAATATTGTTGATACAGTCTTCTCTTATTAGAAAAAAGAAAAAAAATGCTAAAAACTTACTATATTTTATTACTCTCATATTTATTATAAAATTTAAATGTATAGTTGAAAATTATTGAATTAGAAATAGGAGTTACATAATTTTTATAATTAAAAAAAATAAGGAGTGTATTTGAAAAAAAAAATGCGTCAAATAGTGTATTAATATTTTTTTTTTCAATTCTTAACCACATCCTCTAAATTGTTAGGTCCATCTCTTTTGATTTATTTTCTCTAGAGAAAATAACACACAAGTTAACGATGTAATTAATATATTAACTTTTGCGAAATTTATTTTAACTTCATAACATAACTTTCATTATTTTTTCTCTCATTTATAATGTGCGGAAATTATTTACGAATTAAGTAAAATGAAGGTGTAACTGGAAAAATTATAATTCAGAAGTCACTTGGTTTAAATAAATACTTTATTCACATCTTGTTACTTCTAATTAAACTACTTAATTTTCAATTTACTTTCTTGTTTTCATTTTAATCCCCTACAATAAATATATGGAGGATTGTGTATAGATTATGATACCTAATCGGTCTCTTATAATGCATTCAACTCAATTAAGAAGCAACCTATTATCACTGATTGTGCATTGGGCCTTTCTTAATCAAACCCAAAACAACTTAAACCCAGTGAAATTGAACTATGACTTCCCCTGATTAGAATCAGCGACAGAGATTATTGGGAAGCAAACAAGGAGAGTTAAGACTTCTCAAAAAAAAAAAAAAAACTATTTATGTTTTTATATAAAAATTTTCAGACACCTTTAATATTAATTATTCAACTCCAAGTAATTTTTCATATGCTTTATCATTTGTAAATATATTGTTTTAAAAAGATTGATTAAATTATATATAATTGTTATGAATTTTAAGTGAAAATTTGTTGCCAATGTTCAAAAGTTTTCCAGAAGTTTATAAGTCAATATTCATTACTGATTAGAATATCAAAATAAAACAAAAATTTTAATTTATCATTGTAATTCCACGCTGTAATTCTTTGCATAAACTAAATATAAGAGTTATGAGTTTAAATAAATTTTAATACTGACAAAATTAAATTTTAAATTACAGTTTTAAACATGTAATATTTAATGCGCCAAATGGATGCGAAAAGAACAACAAAAACTTCGAGCACAGTTATATGCCTATTTTTAGCACAGAACACATGATTTGACGACATAGCTTCGTTAAAG